ATGGAAATGTTTGTTGAGGTTGTTATAAAATTTTGAATTTATTTACTATAATTACCATGCTTATTTTCTGATAATGTTGGAGAGAAAAGTATACCAACTTCACTGACTGTGGAACCTTGGAAGTTCTTGGTGCCTGACCAAGGTTGTTATAATTCAGGTCAGTGTTGGGCTGATGGTACTTGTGCTACTGGATCTTCAAGATGTCAATTTTATTTTGCTTTGTGCAAAGTAAAAGCTCTTGTTTTCTGCTGGCCTTTGACAAAGTTCATGAATTGAAAGTGTAGACAATAGGATTTTTGCATTTCATGAACTTTGTAGAGTTTTGTTTGTTCCCGCATCTTCCCTTTCACAATTACCTTGCTCCGAAAAGTTGAGAGGTGACTGGTCATCAGTTTCATGAGAAACAAGGTTTGAATTGGGAACTGGGTAAGCAGGGCCTGGAGCTCTAGTGCACGTCATGATAGTTCTTTCGGTAGTTGATACAAAATGTGGGATGTCAACCCTACATCCTACATTAACTAAATGAAGACACCATTACCGCTAATGTCTTGCCACTATCAGTCCCTTTTTCGAATGGAATGAAAAAGTGAATAGTACTTTAGGGGCCTCTGAAATAAATTTTATCTTGATATTATTGCAAGTTCTCAATGAATTGAACAGGTTTGGTTCTGAAAGAAGTCTCCCACTTTGAATGATGTTCACAAAAATGCATGTCAAGTAGACTAAGAAAAAGTGACTGACTTCTTTGGAAGAAGTGTTTTAATGTTTAGATGGTCCTGATGAAAGTAGAAGTAGGATTTTTTCTGAAGGCATTTTATTGACAGGAATTGTGTAAGAATCTTTTTCAGCCAAAAGTAAAGCTGTATTGATGATGATGGAAAGCAAGCAAAACACTGTGCACTACATGTAAGTGTTAGAGAATAATCTTATGCCATTAACACAGTGCTGAGGTTACCAAAGAATTGTTTGAATTTAAGGGCATCATTGCTATGGCTTGGCCTGCAAACACCAGATTGTAATTGAGGACTTATAGGGCATCCTTCCAAGATGTCTCTGTGAGCAAGGAAAAAAACTGAAGCTAATATTTTGCATAAAATGTTGTTTGGATGAATTTCCATTTGAAACTTGAAAAAACTTTCTCAATGAAAAACTGGCATATTATGGTTTTACAGACAAATTGAAAAGCCTTCTTTCTATGTATTAATTACTGTCTGATTCATGCTTAATTAAAAAAAATTTCAATGTTAAAAAAATAACATTATGTAGGTAACTTCAAAGGAAAACAATGCCTAATGTTTAAAATGAATTTTTAAAAATGAAAAATCTTTGTTGAAGCTTTTATTTTAGTTTTAATTTCAAGCTAATTGATTAAATTTAATATTTCCAATAAGCAAAATGCTACTGTTTCAAAACCAATTTAAATTGATTGGAATGAGTTTTAATTTTGAAATTTGCTAAAAATGGCTGATTTTAGCCATATTTGCAAATCTCTCAGCAGAACATAATTTTCTTTCTTAAAAAATCTTTCAAAAATAAAATATACTTTTCTGAAACTTTATTTGAGGAAGATTAACTGATTAAAGTTTAATTATTTTGATTTGAAACAAATATTACTTACTTTTAGTTTAAACTATTGCAAAAAATCATTTTTTAACACAGTGATGAGTTTTTATGTGGTGTTGACAGCCTGATGTTTGGGAAATTTAACTAATTTATTCTATGGAAGACATATCTAAAAATTACTTGACAAATATAACATGAGTGCCATTTTATATGATTTTTTAACTACTCAGTAATCTTAAAAATTTAGGAAAATATTCTGTGATCTAATGTTTTATTGAATTTTAGGTATTTTGATTTCAAATTTACTATAGTTACTGCTCTTATTTTCTGATAATGGCGTGTATGGACATTTGTATTTACAAAAATTAGCATGTTTTTATACACACATGAAAAATTCAAAATTCTTTTTAAGATACTGGGGGGAGGGGTGCTGAATTTTAGTAAGGTTTTTCTTGTTTAAATAATACCTTAGTTTTATTGCATTTTTCATTTTATGATTCAGAGCAAACTTTCTGTAACTGGGGGTCCTGTTTTATGAAGAAAAAAATGATTTAAATTCTCCAAGGACTTCTGCCTATAACTAATATTTAATTTCTCCAGGTCAACTGCTGATGTACTAACAATAATTGCACAAAGAGTCTATTGTGCTCTAGATAAAAACTGAAGCCAGGGCTGTAACTTTGGACATCTCGAAAACCTTTAACAGGGTCTGGCATTCAGGTCTTCTCCACAGGCTGAAAAGTTATGGTATCACCGGGCACATTTTTGAGCTGATCCTATTAAATTGTGAAATGAAACTTGTCCCGAATGGCCACTTGTCTACATCATTTCGTACTAACATGGGTGTTCCCCAGGGCTCCATCCTTGGTCCTATACTGTTTTTAATCTTCATTAATGACCTTCCCAATGACATCAGCTCTCAACTTGACATCTACACTGATGATACTACCATTTGTTCTTGCCTTGATATTAAGGCTGATCCATCCAACAAGGTCAAAATGGCAACTGATGTACAAAATGATCTCAAAACTGTATTAACTGAGGCAAAAGATGGCTTGTCACTTTAATATCTTCAAAATTATTAATCATCTGAGAGACCCCTCTCTGCCTTTCGTCAGCATGATGCTATCCTCTAGGAAAGTGACTCATTGCATCATCTCAGGCTAACATTCTCAGCTGACATGAAATGGAAAGACTATATCCAATCCATTGCTAGGTCAGCTGCTAAGAAAGTCGGTTCACTGTGTCAGGCAAGACAATTCTTCTCTTTTGAATCTATCTTGCATATCTATAAGTCTATCATTTGTTCATGCTTAAAATATTGCTTCTATATTTACTTGGAGTTCCTTGATAAGATCCAAAGCATCAGCAATATTATAGGTCCTGATCTGGCAGCTCGGCTTCAGTCACTTGCCCACCACCATAAGGTTGCCTCTCTGTGTCTTTTTTTTTTTTTATATATATATAAATACTTTCATAAGTGTTTGGATCAGCTCTTTGCTGTGTTACCTAAGCTGTATGAATTTAAGTGCAATACTAAACTGACCGCAAGATCTCACCAATTTAAAATGAGTTAGCTAGATGTAGCTGTAACTTCTACGCTAACAGTTTCTTTTCTCACACTTCTTGCTTGTAGGACTCCCTTCCGGCTCCATACTTTCCAGCCAACTTTAATCTGCAAGAATTTATATGCAATGTCAATCACTATCTACTGTCCTCCTAAATGCTCTTTTCTTTTTCTGCTCATTAATAATGTTTCTGTTCCTAATTACTCCACACCCTGTAGCCCCTTGCATGTTAATGGGTGTACTACCTTGCTTGGGGTGACACTAATTTAAAAAATAAATAAATATAAACATTAAGCCATGCAAAAATGAATTTTCTCAAAATATATTACTTATTTAATTAAAAAAAAAAATTTTATCAAGAATTTCTAAAAAATAAAATTTTCTAAAATAACTTCATTTGTGAGTAAGTCCTGAAAGTTTCATTAAAATCTGACAATTATTTGATTTTTGCCAGAATTTCCAAATCAATATGCTTTTCACTGCAAAAATTACACCAAAATTTCCTATACTAATTTATGGTCATCCACTGACACAAGAAAAAAGAAATTAACCAAAATTTTGAACATTCTAAAAAGGATTAAAAATATAATTAAATAATCAAAAAGTCCTTTGGTCTTTTCTCTTAACAATAACAAAGATTTTGACGATAAAACTTTGTTTTTAAGTTTGGGGCATTTTTTCATCATGTATGCTTATTTTTAACAAATCTTTGGAGGTACCTAACATTAACCTACTCCTTATTTTGTTTTGTATTACACATTACTCTTAGATGCCTGATTGACTGTGGGATGTATATTTATTTTATTTTAATTTTTAGGACCCCCACTCTGCCAGATTATTCAGTCTATCCCATTTATTTTATAATTTTCCAACCTCACTTTTTATTAAGACTCACTATTTATGACATATTAAGAAAAAAATTTCAACCTCCCCCCTTGTATTAGGCCGCCTAAGAGTCAGTACTTTCAGCATAGTTTCAGTATGTAAATGAAGTGAGTGAAATTTAAGCATTTAGTAAGCAATGAAAAATATCTGTATTTATTTGACAGTTCTACATTTGTGTATGTATAGAATAGGAACAAAGTTGCTTAAAAATCATTAGTAGTGAGGTTTAAGGCCAGAAACTAACAACCCAATTACTTATCAGGATGCTGCATTAATTGTGTAAATGAATCTATCAATTCTTTGCTACTTATGTATCTCTTACTAATATAGTTTTATATTATTACTTGAGCAAAACATTTTCATAATAACATATTAGTAATCATAGTCTCATACATCCACTCTATAAAATATAAACATTTAAGCTTTTAGATGTTTATATAAGTACATTTACTGATGCTTTATTTGATGTCTTTCAAAATGCATAAAAATCCATTTTGTGATAATGATTTCAGCTTTGCAAAGAATCTCAACATTAAAAATGGCTGAAATGGTGTACTTGACCAACACTGCAATTGTCTGAACTTTAGTTTGCATTTAAATTTAGACTTATTTCTTAATACAAATTTAAAACCTAATATTCTGAAAAAATGAGAATATAATTTACTTGTAGTATTATACTTGATTTTGAGGTAGGAGAATGTATGTACATTTTTAAATGTTTGTGTTTAATATTTATGTACTGTACTGAGCAACAAATGTGCTTTTTTTTTTTACTTTTCCTCCTTGTCGCTCTCTCTTGGGATTGTCATTTGTTTCTGTATTTCAATTTATGTGTATTTAAGTTTTGTATTTTGTGTGTTGTCTGTTATAACTACTATCTGCTCATTCCTTTTATTGTTTTCTTCAGTGAAATGCAGCCAACACCAGTTTTTTGATGGCTATCTCTGAAGTTTGGAAATATCTTATGCTTTTTCTTTCTTACAGGAGGCATTGAAGCGTCTCTCTTTGCCTGCAGACATGCGTCTTCCGGAGAATTACCTTGCTCAACAGAGCATTAGTCCAGAGGGTCAACTCAGTCGGAGATCTCGGCGAAAATCTCTGGTTGGTATCTCTGATTCCAAGATATTTATATATTAACCAAAAGTCTAAATGTTTGGCTGTTGGCAAATTTATCTTTTAATAATCTGAAAGAATCATTTTATTCATTATTAGAAGTCTTTTATTTTAACTTTTACTGATTATACAAGATGTAACACATAGCATTTTAATATTTGAAAGCACTGATTTTTTTGCAGACATGTTTGCAAAAAACAAATCTTGATGGTAGCTGGTTTCTTTCTAAGATTGTACAAAGAAGTCACTCTTGCAATATTTTAAATATTTTCACCTGTCAAATTCAATAATTTTGGACCATATTGTATTCATTTCCTATAAACTTAAAAAAAAAATAAGTCACTTGATATGATTTTCTTTTTCTAGAATTATGTAAACATTTTTCCAATGTGTTAACATTGGCTATAATTGTATTTGGTAATCTTTAATCATTAATAAAATTTTATATATACTATTATTTGTGATTGTTCTTTGAACTCAAATATTTGCAAGATATTGATTACAATTATTACTGTACAACTGCAATGCAAGTTGAATTTTTTTTTAGAATTTTAATAATTGTGTAATTTATTTCCAGTCTGAAATTGGGTTTGGAAAGATGGAATCATATCTCAAACTTGATAAGTTGGGTGAGGTGAGTAAAAATATTAAAATTGCATACACACTCTCAAAAAAATTAAGAATTACATACATAATAGTCCTATCTGTTAACATTTACTTTATTTACTGATTACTGAAAATCCCTTCTAATTTTTGGTGCATAACATCCACTGAATGCTGAAACATGTTTCAAATTTAAAGTAAAAAATTTGTGGTTAAATACTCTGATTCCACTTTTAAGCACTAATGTTATTTTCATTTATTTATAGTTTGGTAAACAACTTTCACTTTCTTAGATCAATACCAATACTTACCAAGAGTGGGTTATTACAAATTCTTTCTTGAGATGACCTAAAAGTATCCTTTCTACTCTCGGTATACCTGTGAAGTAAATTTTTTTAAAGTTTTCCGACAGAAGATAGATAAGAATTAAATCAACTTTTCTGAATTATTAATAAAATATTTACACAATTTACATGTTAAATGTACTATCTGCCTATTTCCTATTTATGCTTTTAGTATTTGCTGTGTGAAAGTTTTGACCTATTTAATAAATCCTATCAATGATACCACAGGTTACATAACATCTAATATTAAAATAATCATTGGATATGCCATTTCCTCCATATTTTGTATTGTTTTTTGTCTCTCTTGCCATCAGGGTACATATGCTACAGTTTTTAAAGGAAAAAGCAGATTGACTGACAATTTGGTAGCGCTGAAAGAAATTCGTCTTGAACACGAGGAAGGGGCACCATGCACAGCTATAAGAGAAGGCAAGTAGTAATTTTCTTCTCTTTTTTTTTTTTTTTTTTTTTGTTCTCTTAACTGTTTGTGAATGTTTTCACATTTTCTCTATTATTAGTGTTGATGTTTTATATTTGAAATTAGACTTTCATTGATATTTGCCAGAAGAGTTCCACAAGTGAGAAGTGTGAGAGAATAAACAGTTATGATAGGACTTACAGTTACATTTAGCAATTTCAACTGTAAAATGCTGAGACCTAGCTGCCAATCTAGTACTGTGCTTAAATTTGTAAAGTTGAGGTACCAAAGAAAAAAGCTCATCAGAACATTTAGCATGAAAATATTTATAGAGAAGACACAAGAAAGCTACATTATAGTGGTGTGAACATGACTGATGCTGAGATGACAGGTCAAGACCAGTAACATTGCAGATTATTCTTTGTATTTTATCAAGAATCTGTAAATACGTAGCACCAGACCAAATGTGGTAGAAATATTCAATGCATGGATGAATGGTTGACTTATAAATGTGTAAGTATAAGATGGATTCTGGCAAGAAAGATTATCTAGCACAACACAGTGAACCAAATTTCCTAGCAATTGATTCAATATAATCTTTCCATTCTATGTCAGTTTTGTTTTGGAGGTGTTAAAACTGACAAGCCATTTCTTGCCCCAGTTAACATTGTAGATCATTTTTGAGATCAGATGGCAATTTATCTTATCAGACCAATCAGATTTACCATTAAAACAAGAGTAAATAGTTATGTGATCGTCATAGATATCAATTTGAGAACTGATGACATCGGAACGGTCATAGATGAAAATTAGGAGCAATGTAAGTCCAAGCATAGTCATGGTGGGAACCAGCATTAATGCAAAAAGATCTAGATGAGTAACCACTCAAGACAATTTTCATTTTGTGATTTTATAAGAAATATTGAATGAGATCAAAAATTTGTCCATAAATACTTTTGAAGAAGACCAGCATTCCTCATTGTATAAAGCATTTAGATTTTGAATAAGATGGGAGTTTTCATAAATCATGTTCTTTGATGTTAGAAGGTTTTATATGTAAATGAACATTGAATTCTGGGAGTAAAATAAAATGCTAGTGTTATGTGAATTTTCCTTTGCCGTTATTGATAATTTGATTCTTATAAACAGTGTATCATTTGAAAGAGGTTCAGACAATGTTGATGTAAAAACTGCAGTATATAAAACTAGATATATTTATTCTTGAAGAAGTTGTTTACCTTTGTAGAAAAAATATATACTATTGAAAATCTGTAGGAACAATTTTAGCACTTAATATTTATGCATTAAAAAAATCCAATTGAATTGAATTCTGTACATATTTTATAAAGGATTATATTTATGAAATTATTGCTTTGTTTTAATAAAGCAATAATTTCATAAATATAATTTAATTTAGAATATATTTTACTTGATGTAAATACTCCCACTTATTTGAAATCACTCATCATAAATAATAATTTTACAGGTAATTCTTTGGAGAAAAAAATTATTTTAATTATTTTTTAAAATTATCCCAGTAACTTATGAAGATATCTTACATTGGTAAACTGCAAAATAATATTGCTTTGTTAACTTAACAATTTTATTCATTAAATTATGCTTAAACTTTGTCATGTAAAAAAAAAAAAAAAAAAAAAAAAAAAAGACACACACACTAGAAAAAAAAAGATTCTCAAAAAATATTTTATTTAAACTTTTGAAAATTTGGTTTGTTTTTTCTCTTTCAAGAATGAAATGTTTTAGTTAAATAATAATGTTTAAAATGTTGCATGAACACTAAGTTTTATTCAACTTTCATAGTTTTGTATATATTCTTGCATTTTTTTGTTAATTAGAAGCTATTAATTTAGCATGATCACGAATCCTATAACTCATTAGAGTTGTAGGGGCTACACATATTGCAGCTGCAGTAGAAGTGGTGTGTCTTAGGCAAGAGGCTAATATAGCATGTATGAAAATTCAAAAAGTATCAATTTGATTTTTACTCATTAAATGACTGGTAACCTAAGTCATCATTTATTCTGCTGTGGTAGGGAGGACTGAAGTTTCTTGGTACAACCTTTATATTGTAAAAAGACAAGTTACTTTTCTTTTTGCAAAAAATGTCATTTGCTGTCTTGCAGCTTGATTGATAGGATGTCTATATCAAGTGTGTGTAAAAGTTTCAGTACACTTTTCTTTCTTTTCAATTCTGTTTTCACTGGAAACTTGCACAAATCTAATCTATACAGCATATTGAATACAAAATTATATTGTTAAAAAAAATACAAACATATTTTTTGTCTTTTTGTCCAAAAGTAACTATTTTTAAGTTCTTTATTATTTGGGCACAGGTGTTGAGTGAACAACTAAAAATGAATACACACTAGAAACAGTAAAATTGTCTGTTTTTGATATTCATGTTATATAGTAGGAAAACATTTTTTTTTTCTTTTCAGTCATTACTTTATTACCACCTCTCAATTCCACCTATTATGCAGTGATAAGGCCTACTTTTTATTTCTTAAATTCTTCTGTTGACAATCCATTTTAATGTATTTAACGAAAACTTTAGGATTTTTTTATAATTCAGTTGAACAATTCTGAATGATTTTTTTCATTGAATAGTTTTTACTCAGCATACTTTATTTTTGTATTTTAAGTTAATAGACTAAAATTTTAAACAAAAAATATGGAGTAATTTACTGAAATACTGTATACATTGACATTGAAACAAACTCACATAGGTTTGAAACAGCAAGTAATGTTTTTTAAAACAAATTTCAAACATTTTTCCCAAGAAAAGTTTTAGTACAAATTTTAAATTGCAGAAATTTTATTTTTAAGGGATGTCATCCATTTTATATATATATATATATAATATTAAAATATTAAATGGCAAAAATGTTCCTATTGATTTAGTAGCTTTTGCTTTTCTTTTTCTGATCTTTCTAGAAGTGGTGATTTATTTCTCACTCATTCTACTCTAGTATGTGAAAATTGTTATATCCGGTTGAAATGGATATCTCTTAAAAAAAACAGAAACAAAAAGTTTATCTAGTCATGTGTGATTATACATATAAATAAGAAAATAATTTATCACCTTAAACCATGTTCTGATACCACTTGATAACTTCTCAATTACTGCTATTATTCCTTAGAAATAAATCATGCTAATCTACAAAATTTATTTTTGCACAAAAACATTCTATGTAATAAAATTGTTTCTTGCTTTAACAATCATTTGAGTTTTTAATTTGTTTTTCTGATTTTTTTCAGTGTCCTTGTTGAGAGAGTTGAAGCATTCAAACATTGTTACATTACATGACATAATCCATACAGATAAATCTCTTACTCTAGTCTTTGAATATTTGGTAAGTATATCTGGCTTTTCCTTTTTTATGTATATGTTTGTGAGAAAATGTGTAGCAGATATAAGGTTTGGAAAATAATGTCATGGTTTGGAGAGGAATCTTGTTTCAGTAGAACAAAAAAAGATGTTTGCCAAGAATATGATCATTATTAACAATGACCAACATCCACTATGATACTGATTCTTTTATTCCTTAGTGAAAGAATTTATTGTGGATGTTGATATTTAAACCAATGTTCCATTTCCTTGATAGCAATCAGTTTATGAATTCTTTGAATTTTTTAAGAATAATTGAAGATTTATGACCAAAATATTTTGATTTAGTTACAAGATAGATGTAATTTTCGAAAATGACAAATGCGGTTAAAATCAACACAAGAGAATATGAACTTATTAATTTGAAATGATCTACCTCAATATCCTTATATCCTAGATTTTAATTTTCTGATCACTGAAATGCTCTCTTTTTGGTGGTCAAACTTTGAAAAGTAAAACAAATCAATTCAGCATAGTCAACTCTTTTCATTCAGAATCTTAATACTTTCAAAAAGAGATAAAAAAGATATTAGTTTCATTGTGCCAATGATGATTTTCTTAACAAATTTTAACTTTTGTTACATTTGAAGGGTTTTTTAATTGATTTTCTATGATGCAATCTTACTTTTCAAAAAACCTAATAGATTATTAGTTCTGTTTCTTCAGAAAATATGTCACAGAATGGTTTTATATCATTGTGTACACTTATTTGCCAATAAGAATTAACATTTTAATCTCACTAACTTTTTTATCAGTTTAAATATTGAATGTTTAGAATACAATATGTAGTTCTTTGATTTCAATCAAGGTTCTTGCATGATGAATAGCCTAGATTATTATGTGTATAATGGATATCTTTTTCTTGGAGAAACCTGTTATTTTTCAGGATTAGTTTAGTAATTACTGCACATTTAATGACTCTCTCTAGATTTACTGCACATTCTGACTGTAACCTTGAGGATTGAATTAAAAGTTTTATGATTCTCTCCATTCTGTTAGTTTACTGAACAATTCTATCATAGCATTCTGAATAAACAAATTCTTGTTAAGAGTTTAAAATCTTTTCCCTTCAAATTGACCTTTGCCTTAAAAATACACCCTAATCAGTATAATGGTACTGTCACTTGTCAGCCTTAATAACCACTTAAGACAAGGCAGACAAACATCGATTCATAAATGCAATATCTTGAGACATAAGACAAAACACAGACTACAGCAGTCTTTTTGATTTTTGATGTCTACAACAATGTAGACTTGTTAATCCATTTCAGTCCTTTGAGAGAAGCCTTGCTAAAACAAGAGCCTGCAATTCTGATTGACAGTTCAAGGATTTTGATAACCTCTTGTGGCTATTGTTTTTCTTTCTTTCAATTGGTGCAAATACCAGCGACAAATGACTAAGCACTAAATAACAATATTCAGTATAGATACATGTTTATTTGTGCAATCTTTATAAAACTTATCTTTATTTTCTGTTTTACTAATACAAATCTTAATTGTAATGCTCTAATTTTTTTTCCTAAAATATTGCAGTCTTTTCTCTCTTTTTGCCTAAATGGCAAACAATCTCTAAATTGCTTTTATATGTAAAACAAAAGTTTCCATAACTTTAAAAGTGATCAGTAGTGATAAATTTTGTTTTTGAACTTGTAATCCACTTGATGTGTATTTTGTGTTTCATTATAAAAATTTCTATTGTCAAGAACCACTTATTTTATTCAGTTTATAAATACTTTTTCTCAGCTATGAAGTTTTTCTGAGGCCTGAAAACCTTACTGGTGATTTTTATTCAATATTATGCAGTATTTTCTATGGATCAACATTTTTTTCATTTCAATTTCTAGTTCAGTTATTATCATCAAAATAATACATCTTTGATTTAACCACTTTTGTCTCTAAAAATTTACACTGCTTAAAATCATTTCTCTTTTATTCCTCAATTCCGTTACATTCATTACAGAATAGTTTGTCAGCACAAGGCTAATTATATTTTAATTTTGCTTTGGGTCAGAACAAAATTTACATGAATTTTTAAGACAATATTTGATATTTGTACATAGATCTATTAAACCACATATGTACCTTTTTATTTCACTACATTTTGCCATCTTTGAGACGGCTTTACAAGTGGCACCTTTGAAGGTATAAGGTCAGGTGAGTACAGTGGGTGCAATAGGACATCTCATCTGAGCTATACCAATTTCTGCCAATTCTGCAAAGAGATGTGAGGTCTGGTGTTGTCCTCATGAAAGATGACAACCTGCTGATTGGCCAATTCTGGACACTTTTCATTGAATAATGACTTTAATCAGTTCAGTTGGGAACAGTACTTGTCTGAATTCAATGTCTGATTTTGCAGAAGGAGCTCATGATAAACAATGTGTTTTGCAATCCCACCAGATACACAGCATCACCTTTTTCGAATGCTGACATTTTTCAGAGTGGTTAATGGTGGTTTATTTCAGTTTCTCCAGGACCATTTTTTGCTCCACGTTATTGTAAACAACCCATTTTCCATCAATTGTGGTTGTTGTTTCTAAAGATGGGCTGTTTTTGTTGCATTAGAGCAGAGAATTGCAGATGGAAATGCAACTCATTAAATGTTTTCCATGAAATAATGAAACAGAGATTCTTGTATTCAAGTGTTTTCAAATGCCTTACAACGTTCATACAAGATGTGTGACTTGAATTAATTTTAATCAGCATTTCAATTTGGTTATCATCAATGCCTGCAGGCCTGATAGAACATTCTTGGTCTTCTAGATCTAAATTTCCACTTCTGAATGGCTATGACACCATTTTCATAAATGGCACATACCTTTTTCATTTTGAACAGCATTTTTTTTTCTTTCTTTCTTTCTGGAAATAAGATCTTCTGGATGAAAATGCATCTCATTTTCACTTTTAACATAAAAATATTTCAAATTCACAATCCACACACATTATATTTCTATATAATTCATGTGTGGATTATGTATTTTAAATGTTGAAATGTTGCCTTCCAAAATTTGTGTATATATGTCATAAATTTCAGTTATGTGTTAAACAAAATCATGTGTTCAAACTCTACCTATTTCAAAACACTACAATCTTTTGTTCTGACCCAATAATATTTATTCAGTCTTCATGCTGGAAGATTGGTAATTTAAGGTAATCATAATAAGCTGAAAATGCACAAGTATTACATACATTTGCATGGTGGTGATTTGAAGATTCCAGGATTTGCTTCTTTAATTCAATAACATTTTTATTAATCACTTGTGTGATGGCATCCAGAAACCATTTGGCTTTTCTCTTATATTTTACACATTTTTCTAAAACTGGATCACTGTTTCTGCTATTTTTGGTCAAATAAAACATTTGTTGAACAAGCTTATCTAAAAACACCAAAATGTTGATATTTGAGCATTTGCTATGAATTGTTTGTGAGATTGTGTCACTAATGATGGTACAATTTAAATATATATTTCATATCTAAACTATGAGGTTATGATACCAATGCTATAATGATTTTATTCACTTTTATTTCACAGGAAAAGGATCTCAAACAATACATGGATGACTGTGGGAACATCATGAGTATGACAAATGTTACGGTATGTTATTCAACTTGAATAGCAATAATATTTATAGAAAAAAGAATCACTATGAAATATTATTAGGCTTTCCATTGAATGAGAAAATAATGATTACATTCTAAATAAAGTTTAGTAAAAATAAAATATTTAAAGATGCTGTTACCTTAAATTACCTTGCTAAACTCTCTCCATATGAATCTTTCTTAGTTGGAAGTGTTAAGCACAGGTCTGGAGTAATTTAATATTACTAATTGAGATTAGTCAACTAAAACTGACTATTTCATATAACCACTAAAAGTATTGAATTAAAACACCCACACTCCTCATAAATGTTTTTTTTTACACAGATATTAATGACTGTGAGTTTGACCATGAAATTCTGTATTGGAGTAGTGTGAAAGTTGTGTTAAAGAAAACCCTTCCCAGACTTGTTGCCAGTCTTTCTATAGCAGCTAAAATTAATGAAACTATGGCTGGCTTTGGATATGAAAATATTTAATTACTTTCTTGTGATCTGGCAAATCATTTTTGTACAACAACTGTGAGTAATAACAAACTAGCTTATATTGTTAGAAATATTTTTTTTATGTTGAATAACAATTTTTAGTGCTCCCAAAAACCTTTCTGACAATACTTTTAAATTTAACAGTGAGAAGCAGAAACAGGGCAAGGCATCTAATATAAAAGTAATGACAACAGTAGTAAAAAAGCTTTGGAGAAATACCATATGAAAGACATATTGCATTTATTAGTAATTTGATAAACAACATTATTGCAGATCCTCAGTGTGATTTGAAGGTAGCTGTGACTTGTGTTGTTTCTCTTCACAATGCATTTGCTAACTTCAGATTTTCCTCCAAATCATTTTGTTTTTGGTTTTAAATCCAGCTGTTCAAGATAACTCAAATAGGATTGAATTGGAACCTATTGCTGTGCCTATTGTGGGGAAAAGAATTTGAATGCATTGCATTTGACCCAGCAAGATTTTTTTTTTAATATTTACATCTGATGAGAGAGTCAAAATAGGTGAATATAATAAATAAGGAAGAATTCCCCATCTCAATTTTATTGTTTTTTGGGTGGGAGGAGGGCAGTAAAGTAATAATGTGGACAAACATTGTCATGCAGCACTATGCCAATCTGGCTTCCTGTCCTGTAAATGGCTTTTGTTTCTTGCAACACTCAAATTTTGAAGATGCTTAATGTAATGTTCTGCTGTAAGTTTCCCTAGGCTTTAGCAATTTGCATTTCATGTTTCATCAAATACAGATTAATAGCTTTTTGTTTCCAAAAAGTTAAGATTTATCATTGATTGCCTTGGATCCTGGATGCTTTCAATTATTGCAGTTAGCCCACTTTTCATTTCCAGTGACAACCTTCCACAAAAAAATTATAAGAGGTGGCATACTGTGCAATGTTTTTCTCTGCCAATTCACGTGGAACTCATTTCTCTGCATTTTGAATTTTCTCAATATTCTGCAAACAACTTAAACAAAAGTGCTTGGAAGTCTTCACTTACAAATTCTTAGTCTGTGTGGTTTATCTTCTAAATCAAATTAACCATTGACAACACGTACCACTTTAAAAAGGGAAAACAGTCCTGGTTATTGAGCAACAGTATATTCCACATGGAAAAATCCTTTACCTTTCTTAGAATGTCAACCTTAGTTGAAATAGTAAGTTGATTAAAACATATTTAATTAATTTTTTTTTTTAAATATAAATCATGACATTGTTCTATTTTTGCGATTTAAATATGAATTCCTCTAGATTTTTTTCTTGTATAAACATCTCTCTCTTTCTCATCCAAAGTTTGTAACAATAGCAATCCAATGAAATCCAAATTCAAGAATTGTCTAGAACAGAAAAGAAAAATAGCTAGCTTTTGATAAAATGGGTACTTATGATTGGTTAAACACCTCGACAATGTTGGAAAAATCCATGAAAATGATTGGCTAAAGCTTCACCAATAAAATGAAACAATTAGTTCATTCTCACCACAATCATTGTAACTTAACTGATCATAGACAAATCTCCAAGAAACACAGCAGTTTGAAGTTGTAAGATAATAGACTAGCTGAAAGATAATAGTGTAGCAACTGTTTAAAGCTTTGTGTACACATGATTAGACCTAAACATTTGCTGATTTGAAAAATTGTAAATTTCAATGTTGAAAATTGACTCATTCTCATTTTTTTCCCTTTTTATTAAATTTTTAAATATTTTTTTTATGCTATTTGTGCTTTGTAGTTGTTCCTGTTTCAATTGTTACGTGGCTTGGCTTACTGCCACCGACGACGTGTTTTACATAGAGATTTAAAACCCCAGAACTTACTAATTAATGATCGTGGCGAGTTAAAACTTGCAGATTTTGGTAAGTATTAGTAATGACATTACATGAGCTGCCTAAAATTGAATGCACTGTTAAATGAGACCATAACTTTGTTTTCCAAGTTGAAAATAACCACTTTTCTATGGCAAGTGGAGGATAGATTAGATTTTGACATTTATTACAATTTTGTAGAAATAAATCAAGCAAAATCATCTGTTGTCTAACAGAAATTCTTAAAAGCAATCAGACATGATGCATGATATGAGATGTCAATATAACAAAATCTCTACGCAGGTATATAAATCTCTACACATGAATATATTTATTTTAATCCCCCTTTATGAGTGATTCATACATTTTTGGAATTATCTTTAATATATAATCTACATATCCATTGCCAATTTTAGAATGCTATCAGAATATATTTAAATAAATCTCAGTTGGCTTTCTCAGAAATACATGTTTCAATTATAATTTCCTTTTGAATTAAGACATTGATATTTTTTTATTAGCTGAAAATGCTTGTTATATTTATCCAAAGTAATTGAAATATTAGTCTTGCTCTCTCTTTAGCATTTTTATTTTGTTTAAAGCCATTTTGTCCCAGCCATGCAATTGTTGTTTCTTTCATTAGCATAGTAATATATTGAATGAAGATATAAATTGTCAGATTAGAGAAATCAAGCATAACATCTATAGTCTCAAATACAAAAAATTTATGTCTGAAAAAGCAAACTTCTGAAGGTGAATGTGTTTTAATTCTTAATAAGATAATGTTGTACTATTTTTGTTGTACATATTGATAAATAAAATTTGTCACTATCTAAGTTTTAATTGGCCTTTATTCCAATAGGACTTGCAAGAGCAAAATCTATACCTACTAAAACTTATTCAAATGAAGTGGTTACACTGTGGTAAGTACAGAGTCTTTCTTTTATAAATGCCAAAATAGCAATGTGATTGAATATTCTTAATATTTATTACTTTTCACACATTCTGCAAGGGTTAGTTGCATTTTATCTCTTTCAAGAGAAAAATCTTCATTTTCAAAGAGACTGAAATAAAGAAGATAGTTTGTAGTGGTCAGATATGGATTATATATATATGTGTGTGTGTTTCTTTTTTCAGTGTTGCAAAATTTATTGGCTAAATATGATTTGTTTATATATTGACATTCTGCCATTTCATCTTGTTTTCATTCATAGCTGTCACAACATACATTTGTCAGTAATATACATTTTTGTTGTATATACAGATCAAGAGATGACAAAAATATTTGAAGCCCCCCTCATTTACTGAATATAACTATCTATAAGCCTTCACTGTTCCTAAATTAATTTTCTCATAGTTTTGCTATACTCTATCAATATTTTAATATTGGTAATGCTGATGGTGTTACCATTTAAAAGCTTACTATTTGAAAAGATCTTATTTTGTAACTAAATCTGATTATTCAGTATAGTGTGCTTAGTATTTTTTCTGTGCTAAAAAAAAAATTAATGACCTGATATACAATCTTTTGGGATCTTTGAGAATTATTTTACAATACTTCATTTTCCTGCTTTATAGATGTGTAAAATATATCATTTAATTAATTATACAAAAGCTCTTAAACAGAAGAATTACTTGAAAATCTATGAATATAATAAGCATTAGAATCCTTTAAAATTTGTACATTCATAAGCTATTGTTGAGGGAGGAAAAGAGAAAATATGTACCAAATGATATAATGAAAATGAAGTTGCATCCTCAAACAGGTATTTATTTATTTTATATTTGTTTGTGTGTACTTATCTCAGGTACCGACCGCCAGATGTTCTACTGGGATCAACAGAATACTCCACCCCTATAGATATGTGGTAAGTAATGTTTGACGTCATGTAAATATCGCAATAGATATTGTTCTATGTGATTGCATAAATACACAAATATATAAATACATCTGTTAGATTTTATTATGTAAGTCATTGCTTTCACAGAATTATTGTTGGTAACATTTTCAATATATACTAATATTTATCTGATAGACTTATCATTTCCAGCTTATAATTTTATTAGAAATATTTATAATAACTTATTTGATGATGTGATCTCAAATAAATAAATGGCTACAATAAGTTATTGATATTTATTCACATAAAAGTTTGAATGGGTTGTAAAAAAAAAATAATCTCAAAAGAGAAGTAAATTATTGGAAAACATGAAAAATTAGACAGAAATCTGAGAACAAAAAATAAGATATTGCTTTAACAATATCTAAAAGATTTGAGAAAAATGAAAAAGATAATAAGCAAGAAAAGTGGATTGACCAGCAATAATATATTTGAAGAATACTCATATTAGAGTAGACACCTTGTCTTTTAAGCAGTTTGAATTGCCTCTCCTGGCCTGCACATTTGAGAGATTTAACGAAAATGTGCTATCTGACAGGGTTTGATCTTGTGTACCTCTTTGTAGGAGAAAACCGCCATCTGATCTAGGATACTGCTCAGCCACAGAACATCACAGACCAGAAAATTTCAAAAAGGGTAATTGAACTTTATCTAAAGAGAAACAATATATTTAATAAAAAACAGGGTGTCTACTTAAACATGGGTATCCACAAACTGTTTGTAGTAGTAGAAGACAGATATATATATATATATATATATATATATATATATATATATATAGTGAACATTGAATTCAATACCCAGTGCTTAACAATCTGTTTCTGCTTAAACTCAATTATCAGATGGTCTGACAATTATATTTAAGCATGAAACAGACTCTTACCTCTGGGTGTTCATATCAATGTCCACTTTTATATTTACATACACTCTATCCCTGATATTGAGCACTTTAACCCATAAATATACCAAACTTTTTGAACTAGAAATCCAAAGTCTTTAGTCATTGCTTACATATTAGGAAATTCCTCTGAAGTACATTTGAGGCTGGATGAAAAAAAAAAAAATGTACATTTCAATTACCCACCACCACCACCGATACATTTATAATACCCTTGCTTTTCTTCTCTTCCCCCTTCTTCTTTCTTCATATCCTCTTCCTTCCTTTCTATTATTCCCAACATTGTGTGTTTATTTAAAAAATAAAATAATAATATAGCGTTCATTAGTTCTCTCTCTCTCTCTCTCTCTCTTTTTTAAATAAAGTGTTAAGAGGTCATCTGATAAAAATTGTCTGAGGATACCATAAAGTTGAAACCAAGGTAGTGGATTCAACTAACCTCCTGATTTTTAAAGTTAGAAGCTCTACATGTTATTTTTACTTTTATTTTATTTTTTCACATGTGTATTGAGCACTTTTTAATACTACTGTTTCCTGGTCTGATTCAACTCTAACCATATATATATATATATATATATATATATATATATAATATGTGTAGCACAGCCTGTTTACATAATAAAAACTGACATCTCCAAAACAATTTATCAGTATTGTTAATAAGGATATATATAATTTGAAACTCACACAATATATTACTCTTATATTGGTTAATACTCATTTTATTGTAAAACCATTGACTTGCCTAATAGAATCTAACATAGTATTATAGATATATTTATATATTAAATTATTCTAAGCTGTCTTGTAAAATGTAGCAAAATTAGCAAAATATTTTTTTCTAAAATTTGCAGGAAAATAGACCTGATTTTTTTTTATATATAGAAAATTTTAATTGAAATGCCTCAAGAATCTAGTGTTAAATGATCTACATCAGTCATTGATGTATTTTTGTAATTTTTATTAACATTTTTAATTATAGGCTTCAAGAAATCTTTTGCTTACATAGCAAGTTGTAGGTGTTGTGAAATGTACTGTATCTACATGAAAAATGTAATTGGCAAGCCAAGTTCAATTTCTGGTTCTCTCTCTCTCTAGGGGAGTTGGTTGTATATTCTACGAAATGGCATGTGGACGGCCGCTGTTCCCAGGTTCAGCAGTTGAGGATGAATTGCATTTAATTTTCAAAATTCTAGGAACTCCCAAAGAAGACACCTTTCCAGGTATTTCTACTCATGAAGACTTCCAGTCCTATAACTTTCCTTATTACGAACCAGAACCATTGTTGAACTTTGCTCCAAGGTAAATATAATTTCTACAGATATATAGAATACCTTTAAAAATATCTTAATATGTTAATTTGTATGTCTTGAACACTGAAATTCACTATATATTGGCAGTTCTTTCAAGATTAATGAATATTTCTTAGAAAGATTATTATTAAATATGAATATATTAAATCTAAAGCTATCATTATGTGGTAAACGTATTATAATGAACTTAAATGACTGGGCAAGACTTAAAAAAAAATGCTTCTAGATGGATCATCTAGAGTGCTTTTAGTATTTTTTTTATTAAAATCAGATTTATTATATACTTAATATGCAATTAAGCATTACATTTATACAGAAACTATCAGCATCATTTGACTGCAATAGAATGTTTCAATTTTGTACTTAGTTTTATAGATTCTTAAATTTTCTCTTCTCAAACCAGTGTCATACATTTGATTGAAACTTTTGGGATGATTTTGAAAAAGTCAAGAGTTTTCTTAATATAACTTGATAGCTGCAAATGCTTATCCATTTAATACTTTGGAGATTAGAATTATGAAATGCTAAGATGAGATTTACTGATATCTATTTACATTTTTCTCAGGTTAGATGGTGATGGGTTGGATTTGCTGGAAAGGTTTTTAGTGGTGAGTGTAACTTCTGCCCAACTATGACCTCATGCATATTTGTGTGTGCAATGTTAATGTGAATTTTTAAGAATCTTTGCACTTGAATAAGTTTCTAAATTGTTAGAAAAGATTTTTTATTTAGTGTTAATATTTTAAGTAAAATATCTTTACAGTAATTTATATAAAAGAAATTATTTTCTTGCATTGTTTTCATGATTTATAGGAATTGAAGTGTATAAAATGTACAGATGGTTCTAATCCTTTAAATATGCTTTTATTAAAAAAATTCCATAAAGATAATGATATTTTAATGATACAATACTTTTCTATCTTTATTTTTTTTAAGTATCATCCTATTATGTCTAATTAGAAAGGGCTTCATTTAATTTACTTATGTAGATGGATCCACTTGGAAAAGGCACATCAAATTCAATGTCTCATTATTCTCTTTGCAATCTCTAAATCTACCTCTTTTCTTCTTTTTTTTAATGTAAAAAAAATTATTTTTTAAACTTTATTTTTAATGGCATAATGTTGAAATTCACTGATATTGAATTTTTGGTCAGTATTTTTTTTATAATTTACAGCTTAAACTGTTTTTGCAATATTTTAACATTCCAGTATGAAGCAAGGAATAGGATTGGAGCTGCCGAAGCTTTAAAGCATCCATTCTTCAAATCTTTAGGACCTAGTGTCCATAAAATTCCTGACAGTAAGTCTCTTTTTTTCTTATTCTGTGAATAACAAAATATAATTTATTAATGGAATGCTGCTACATTTGTATAATCTCATTTGAAATCCTAACATTTTCTTGACAATGTGTCAATAGTATAATAGTGCAGGTAACATAGGCACAAAGTTTTATTTACATAGTAGTTGTATTTATTTATATATATATATATATATATATATACACACACACCTCTTACTTTTTGGATATTCCTTGTATTTACAATTTCCAAAGATGTAAAACAAAGAAGCATTTTTTAGTTTGTTTCCATAAAAAAATGTGACTTTGATACAAATTCACTATTAAATAATAAATTTGTATCATAAAGTCACATTTTTTATGGAAACAAACTAAATAATGCTTCTTTGTTTTACTTTACAAACTGTAAATACAAGGAATATTCAAAAAGTAAGTTGTATGTATATATGTGTGTGTGTGTGTGTGTGTATATATATATATATATATATATATATATAATATAAAAACAAACAACTACTATGTAAATAAAACTTTGTGTCTATGTTACCTGCACTATTATACTATTTTTCAAATACAGTTGTCATCGAGATTGATGCACTTTATCTCCTTAAAGAATGTGACATCAGGTAACTGGAGCTATTGTTGTAGCTCTCAAGTGATAGCATCAACTTATATGGAACTATTCTCTGAATAAATGTCATTTAAGGAACCCAAACAAATGATAGTTCTTACTTGGCTCTTTCAGATTATATGATGGATGTGGTAAAATATCCCAATCATATTGCTAGAGATGTTCTTTTGTTAGGTTGACCTTACTTGAGGTGACTTTGTCTTGCAACAGAACAAGACCATTTGATGAATAACTTCCCTCAGTTTGTGTTATCTGTCCTACCATATGGTATGGAATCCATGAGCAGAACACCTTTTACATCCCAGAACACAGTTAACATCAGTTTCTTCACTAAACATTGAATTTTTTTACTCCATTGTACATTTAATTTTATATGTTTATAAAATATATGTTAAAAATATTTACTAAGTTCTTGGAGAAATTAAATCAGTTAAAATTTTCCTTGAAAGTTAAAAGTGAAAAAAATTAAAATATTATTTTGTTTGAAAAGTTTGTATTTTTTAATATATTCGAAACTGTAGAGCATTAAAATTTATTTTGTTCATGTCACATGTGCATGAAAGAACAGTAAATTAAATTTAGTCTTTAATATTCTTGACAACATTTGGCACTTTCAACAATGTTAAAATTTTATTTTGAACCAAAATGTTTATATGAAATGACCTTCGGAAGTCTTAATTCCAAAGCTGGTTCATAATCCTAAATTAAGTTTTTAAGGATTTTTTTTTCTTTTTTATCAATTTCTTTGTATGTTAATTTTCAAATCTCTTTCTCTAATTTCCAGCCACGTCAATATTTGCGGTTCCAGGCATTGTTCTACACAGGGATCCTGGCATTCGTTCTTCCTCAGTAGCAACTTCAGGTTTGTAATTTGAAAAAAAGAATTATATGTTTAATTAACAAATAATACACCTTCTTATAGTTTCATTTTCGTATTTCCATTTTCATTCTGACATATCTTCATTTTATTGCAGGGAACCGAAGACGTCAAAGTATGCTATTTTGACCACCTGACGCCCGTGCTGTTGGTACAATGCTAGAAATGGTGATCTTTGGCTGATTAGTACAAACTATGAGCTTGTGGACCCTACTACATAGTAAAGTGCTTGTGTGGCCACAGTTAGCCTGACCCTTACTTTCAGCAGCAGCACCACCACCACCACAATTACCAGTGAGCATCAGGAACAAATGGAACCAATTTGGTGGTATTGATAACTTACCAGTCAGTGAAAGCAGAATGACCATTACCACCACCCTGGCTTGTGTGAACACAGTCTCTATTTAAATTTTTTGATCCTGTTCCTTATCTTCTACCCCATAAACTCAGCTCTCCTAAGTCTTCAGGGTGGACATCTCTGGTCTCTGTCTTTCTCCACCCCTGAATATTGCTGACCATTAGATGCTATCACTGGGTATTGGCTGGGTTTGGGTTACATGTTGAAAGAAAAAGGAACCGATGTGATATTTCATGACTGCAATTGCCTAAAAATGAAAACAAATTTAAAAGAAAAAAAATGTTTCTATCTGAGGAGAATTGTCTGCTTGATTATTTATTCTTCATTTCTCTTCACATATCACAATTTACATTCAAATGACAATTATCACAAACAAACAGATGCAAACACATAGATCTATACAGATACAAATATAGTTACATTGTCATCAGATACACAGATGGTGCCAATATCATCAAAAAGCCAAGATGTTTTGTTCCTTGACTGAGGCAGATAAAACTACAAAACGAAGCTCTCAGAAAACCCCAACCTTCTAGCATTTTTGTTGTCTATGAAGCTGGTGATTTAAAACAACATAAACTTCTTCCTTCTTTTCATTTTGCCCACCAACTTATTGCCGTTATCTTCCCTATTTTTTTCTGCCACTAATACAAATCAATGACTAGGCAACAAGAAGAAAATTCCCATTACATAAACATATCTTTGGTTGTCCTTGCTAACATTAGACAGTTTAATTTCTCTCGCCCTATCATTAACTTATTTTGTGTATTGCCATTTAATCACTGGAGATAAATGACCATCTATTTTATTATAGCCAAAATCAGGCTGATACATTTTGTTATTTTATGATGAAAGGTCAGTCAATCCAGGCAGGCAGGAAGGGTCCTTTTGTGTTTGTTATAGAAAAAGGTTTTCATTTTGAAGATCTTTCATTTTCAACTCTTCCCATTTGATCTCTGAAATCTGCTCTTTGTCTGTATCTTGACTGCTGTCACCATTCTTGGTCAAGCTATGCACTGGCCTCAGTTCTCAGAGGGTATAACACTTATGGTCTGATCAGCTAACATTTCATTTTATATTTGATATATTGCTAAAAAAAAAAAAGAAAGAAATCAAGGAAATTTATTTTAAATTTTAAAACTTATATGTCCAAAGTAGAACATATTTTCTTTTCATTTGTAACCTGTTTGTTAGAATATTTTGTTAGAATATTTTGTATCTTTTTAGGTGAATAGTAAAGCTATGACATATTTCAGATGAAACTTGATAGTTTCATGCATGGCAGTTATTTCATAGCTAATATTTTGATGTACAACTTGTAAAAGCTACAATCAAAACTTGTAATCTTATAATATCCTTAGAGATATTACAGTTAGTAAACAGCAAAAAGATGTAACTATGCAAATTTTAAGTTTCAACTCTATTCAGCATAGTTGGTTATTCTGACTATTGCTGTCTGTTGCCAATGCAAAAGGCCAACACAACCAATTTTTATTTCTCAAACTTATGCAGATGTTAAAAAGAAACTTGAAATGGTTTTTGCATCTGACACTCAAGGTTGTAACTTGAGAATGCTAAAAGATTTCAGCACAAGTATCAGTTTTTATCTTTTTTTTTATATTGTGTGTATCTTGTTCTAGTAAGCAAAAATTTTGGTTTATTCTCATAAAATTAAGGAAAAGAAATTTCAGGAAATTATTTTTGCTTTTTTGAAGTAAAGAAAGAAAGAATCCTGACTCGGGTGGGGGTAACTGGTCTGGTCTCCTTTGATTGGGACGATGCAAAGCAGTTTGGTTAGTCATTGCATCTGGCTTTCATTTTTTGTTGCTGCTGTATTCATTCCATTTTCCTTTTATTCCCACTTTCTAAATCAGGCCAGCAACTATTTTTTTTCTTTTTCTTAAGACTCCAGTCTTCCTCATTATCCTCTCTCCATACAGTCGAAATATGTCTATCTGATTTGCCAAATTGTTCTCCACTTTTACTGTGATTAACAAAAACAAAAAACAACTAAAAAACCTTAGCCTCTGTGAACATCATTCCCCGTTACCTATTCTTATTTTCAGACTAGTTGAATTTACCATACAGAAACAAATATTGTCACGTGTTTGTCTTTTATCTTTTCTTTTTCTATACTAGGATCTAAAATATTAGATTATCCTTTTTGTAGCGATAAGAAAGAAATCAGGATTTACATTCTCTTTTCTGAAAAAATTCAGCATGTTGAAGAAAATCTTAATTCAAAGTAAATGAGAAAATCTTGAACCATCTGTAAACTTTATTTAGCAATCAGGTTTACTTGAAGGAGCATTTGTACATTTTATGCAAGAAAAATCTGTTGTGTAAAAAATATGAATATGTCAAAGATGCTGGTGATATGTTATAAATATGGATGCAGGTGTTTTTTAAAAAAGAAAAAAGAAACTTTCAGGTGAATAATAATCCTGGTTTCTTGTATGTGTTGATTGGTTATTTATTTTTAACCAATCAGTGAAAGAAATATGTTGCACCATTTTTGCCAATGAGGTAAAATAAGAGAACTTTCTGATGTACTGTGCTGCCTATCAAGGCTATTTTTATAATTTCATCTTGTTTCAGTATCATTATTCTAAATAATATTTAAGTAGATAATTTAATATGAATATCTTGAATAGTTCATTAAAATAATTGATAGCATTGTATTTTTTTTCACACAAAGAATTGTAATCACTTACTGTTCTTTGGGGTAACATTCTCTAGTTTATTGTTCTAATTATTTAGTTAAAATAAGAATGAATGAAAATTAGAAATCGAATGTGTTGTGCAAGTTATCATTTTCTGATGTTTCCTTCTCCAACATTCTCTTAAATTAAAGAAGAGGCTTTATCATTTTCATGGTTGTAGTAAGATAGTAGATAAGTCATTTACTGTCTCACTAATTCATGTCCTAATATAGCATATACATGTGTGTTTGTGTGTGTGTATATATATATATATATATATATATATATATATATATATAAGGAATTCTAGTGCCTGGAACTGATTGGCAATTTATGTATAGCATTAAAAAGAACAGGATAGATGAAAATGCTAGTCCACATAAACCAGAAAAAGAGTTATATATTTACTTGGTGTTTTCAAAGTTTCCTGTATCTAAAACAAAAAGCAGCTACAAGTTGATTCTGTTATCAATTCTCTGTAAAGTACTGCCTATCTTATTTGCAGATTCATGGTTCTTCAAACTTTCTGCAAATAATCATCATTCCTCTTTGTTCTTTTAAATCCATTTCATATTCCTACCTTTTTTTTGTACATACGCATGCCTAACCCCATTAAAATATTTTCCACATGGTTATAAAGCCATGTTTTTTTTTTTATTATTATTATTATACCTGATAACATTCTTGGGATTTTTTTTTTTCAATCATATACAAAATAAACAATTGAATTAGCTAATTTTTTTCTTCAATCTTTAGAACCAGACTGAAATTTTGAATTAGTGATAAAAAAGGACACCTTGTTGAAAAACCAAACAAAGGTTTGGTTTCATTTGGCTCTTATAGTAATGCATAAAATGACTGACAAGTCTTAAAATTTAAAAAAAACTTTTTTTGTGTGTGAATTTTATCTACAAAAACAAGTTTTAAGAATTTTATCAGAGATAATGAAGATTTTTATAGCAAAATGTTGTAAAATTAAAAATAAGTATGATTGCTACTTGCAATTCGGAGAGAACATTTTTCTCTGTATTAGTTGCTATAAGAACATTTTGTACTGATGCTAGTTTTTTTAGTAAATATTTTTTGATCCCGTTAAACTTGAGAATGTGTCCCTTAGTAACCACCAAATATTTAACAAAAATCTGGCACAAAATTTAAATGCAAGTTTCATTTCAAGGGAAATAATTTTATCAAATGAACAAATTAATTTTTTTTTCTCATCAATAACAAAAAGTTACTTTATAACTCTCCCAAACTGGGTAGACAAAGATAATCTCTTTCTGTTTAAAATCTGAAATCACAACCATCATGTATCGTTTGAGATGTACATTTAACCTTTTCCAATCTTAGGAGCCCTTCCTCAACGACACACATTAAAACCTGAACAAAACTTACTAGTAAGATAAAATACTCAACAAAAGAAGATATTGACTGTGGACAACTCACAGCAGCTGTGGCAGCAGCAGTGTGAGTAAAAGTCTTCATCTTCAACTTAAATTAAAACCACCCCTCCCCCATGCTTTTATTTTCCTGGAACGTTTTTCAGCAACGAGTGTTGGCAGTATACTTTGATCTGATTACTGCTGTGAATACTACTACTACTACTGCTGCTGCTGCTGCCATTTTGAAGAAGATAGTTTGGCAAAATGCCAGGGCTCTGTTTGGTTCAATCCTCACCTGCTAAGAGCAGTCATCTAAGTTGGTAATGTACTTTCCATTGCTGGGTTGGTTCTCTTCAGATTAAATATCTCTGAATTCCATTGTAGAATCCTAGAATGATATTTATAAAGCAGAACAGTGTGGGAAGAATCTTTAGCAAAAATATTTTGCTTTTATCTACCAGTGTTTGTGCCAACATGGACTTGATTGAATGTATCATCCTCCGGACTGTACAATGTAGCAAACAATTGTTATGAATTTCTTTGTTATGGTTTGTTAAAACGTTTATATTTAAGAAAATAAAAACCCAATTACATTGTAAAAGTTTGTTTTTCTCGTGCAGAATGTCAGCCTACCAACATCCAAACCTGCACAGTTTTTTTTATAAAGAGGTTTCAGTCCAAGAGAAAACTTTTTTTTTTCCAAGATAAACTTGTTCCAAAATTGCATTATGGTCAATTATCATGCTTATTTCATAGAACCTTTTTTCTTTTTCTCTTCTGAGCCATATTCTTACAAAACATGATGCTAGTCAAAATCAGCAAAAAAGTTCAAACATGTTTAAGATTTGATACCAAGGATCTGTTGGCACTGAAACTGAAGAGGATGTCTCACTGTTGAGTCGACATTTCTTCTTAATTAGACTGCAAAGAGCTCTGACCTGAAGAAAAGTTTGAAACAAAACAGTTTTCCTGAGAACTTTTTCTTGATGATGTTGTCACTGTTATTTGACTTTTGAACCCTGATCATACCACAAGCAACACAACATACCAACCAGCTAATGTACGTGGTAATAAAAGTGGTTGAAAGCAATTTAGCTTTTCTTTTTTATGATACTGTGTTTGTCTTTTAATATAATTTTATGTTTCTTTGTTTTCTTTTGTATTTCAATGTATAATTCCTGTTCACTGCTTGGTTTATTTTATTTGTAGTAATTTAGGAAATCAGCTTATGACTGCATAACAATACAAAACTGCCCACCTGTTTTTTTTGTTTTTTTTTTAAGTTTCTGCCATCAATTTTGAAATGAGTAGTCAGTTAAAATATCTTCAGATAAAACAGTCTTATCTTACTTCAGTATGGTGCAGAAAAACTGCTTAATTATTTTTGTCTTTGATAATCTAGTTGGTCTCATCAAACACATGCCTTAGCTAAGTCACTTTGAATTTTTACTGGAATCAGGTGATCTCTGCCTTTTGGGATTTTGGACTTTAGAAACCAAATGTATTTTTATTTCTTTAATTCTATAGAAAAATTTTCAGTTTGTTTTAAAAATGTACTTTGTCTTCTCTAATAAACCAATCAAGTTCATTAGAGTTTGAACGTTACTAACCTTTTGTTTAACAGTGAATCAAACTTGTGTTGCTAGATTAATATATTAAATAAACTTGAATTTTTTTACCTATATATAAATGAACTCAAATTATTAGCAATAGAACTGTGCTTTCTTCATTGATTCATTTGTCCAAAATAATGTCACATTTACAGGTTAATGAGGTTCCACTGTATTGTTCAGTCAAGACATTTCTCTTTCTCATTTTATAATTCTTTAATATCTTTGCTGGGAAATACAGAGAGAGAGTTAATATTTTATTGGTACCAGATTTTTCAAGGCAGATCCTATAAAATTTACCCAGATAATTTCATGGAGCAAATATGCAACTGTTCATTTATTTTTCCTTTTCAATGTTGAAGTTTTACCAGCTTCTGTATGATTTTATAGTAAGTTGCACTTTGATATAACTATTTAAATTTTGTAAACAATATTCTCTACATGAAAATGCTGATTGATTTACAAAAAATAAATTCATAGAAAAATTTTTCCATCAAAATATTTCCCCTTTACACATTTATTTCACTTTGGTAGTCTTTTGAAATCATTTTTATTTAAAGAATCAATTTGTTGATATTATTCTTCAGTTTGATCCTGACTGGAAATAAAAACTAAAAAATCTTGTTTGATAAAATAAATTTCCATATGAAATGATAGTGAATATTAGCCATTTTCTTTGCTTTTTCACTTTTATGAATGTCACTTTTTGCACCTTGCATAACAGCAACAACATTGATCCCTTTTTTCTGCTTTTCTGTTCTATTAAATATAGTTTACTACAATGTACATTAAAAAAAAAAAAAAAGCTATGTCGTCTTCAAAAATGTGTTTTTCAACAAAACTTTTTGGTTTCAATTGAAGTTTCACTTCTATGCAGCTAACTATTGTATACCATAAGTGATGGATGATGTTAAAAAATGAAGAAAAATGAATTGGACATTATAAAGGTATTCATATGTCTGAATTTTGATTCAATTCAAGTAAACCTCATTTGCACTCCCACAACCTCCAATAGCTCTTAAGTTATTTGAAATTTGAATCGCTTTCACTTTGACAACCTTCAAATCATTCCCTTAATTGATAGTTTGGACCAACTTTCCTTTTGATTTTCAAAACTCAAATCTGCACTTGCAAATCTTTGATCAAAATCATACTGTTAATTTTTTTTTTTTTTTTTTTTAAACAAAAAACATTGCATCTAAATGTGAAATTTATATTTGCAGCATCAACTTCATTTTGATCCAGTTAGTTTTTATGTAAGTATAAAAAAAAATCAACGTTGAAAGGTTATATTTGCTTA